TCTCGAATCGTCCATCCATATTAATCTATTCCACACTTCACTAAGTTGTTGCTGCAGTTTTGAAGCAATATGAGCACAATTTGCTTTGCGATATCATCGGCAAGCATTGAACAGAATATCGGGAATATCATTTGTATCTGACATTTAAATAACGATATCACATACTATTATCGCATTTACGTGAATAATTGTATCTTAGATAAATATATACCAGTTTCATATCTATATCCATTTGTTCCAAAGTATTCGACTATAGCGGCAAACCTAAGTACATTGTGCAATGAAATGAGCTGAAATATTATAGAATTGTATGTGTATGTTAAATACTTCATTTAAATACTTGTGAGCAGTCCAAAGTAGAGTTTTGCGAGGAAATAGCATATATCAACTGAACGTTTTAATAGCAGAACCCTAGATCTAAAATGGTGAAATGTTTATTTCTTAAAAGGCTGATAATCCTCATGATTGAGCTGCAGGATAGAACATCCGACTTAGCCAGACAGCTTCCTCAATTAATTGACATATTGGTATGGCTTGAAATGAATTTATTTTACCTAATGTCATATTATATAATATCAGGAAACAAATACTGTATGAAATAATCAAATACTTGTGAAGAAATCGGTTTGTTTCTGTTCCATTTATATGTAGTATGTAAAAACCAAACAAACTATTGTTAATTTCTGCTAATTGTCATAGCTTAAGCGATGTAAACAAAACATATTAAAAAATGAAAAACGTAACAAAGAAATAGTTACTTGAACACTATGGAATTATTGAATATTTTCATTCCACATAAACAATATCCAATGGCGTAAAAATACCAGTCTTTTGTGACCTAGATATAGCGTAGTGGTAAAACCATCACTGGTAGTATTGAATAAGTTATTTCTAAAATGTTGAAAGCTTGAGTGAAATAGTACCACCTGTCTCTGGAAAAGCTCAATTTTAAGGATCTTCAAATTCAAGTTCTATGGCATTTACAAGATGTTTATGATGGCGTTAGTTTTCGTCCGCCTGATTAAGAAACATATTGCGAAAAGTGGTAAAACATAATCTAGGCTATGGATTAATGACCTTGATCAATGTGTTACCGAGCCATAGACTACTTTAGACTGCGTTCAAATATTTGAAATGAAGTATATAACATAACACATACGTTTCTATAACATTTCAGCTCATCTCAAGGCACAATGTACAAGTTTAGGTTTGCGGACTTTAATCGAAGCAGCAGTTATAGTCGAATATTCTGGAACAAATGATTCTGGTATATATTTATCTACAGAAACATACAATTATTCACGTAAATGCGATTATTGTATGTGACATCGTTATGTATATGTGATATACAAATGATATTCCTGATAGTCTTTGTTTAATGTTTGCCGATGATATCGCAAATTATGCTGAAACGCTACAAAAATGGAAATGTAGTCGATACATTTTTGTTTGAATATTGGCATGGAAATTAATCTTGATAAAACGAAGATAAATGGTTTTCGAACTGGAGGTCGTCTTCGTAATTATAAATATCAAGGTTTTTTTGTCTCTGTGTTCAAATCACACACTTAATAATGTTGAAACTGGTAGGCATTCAAGTATGCTATTTCAAGAATGCTTTGCAACTTTTGTCTCGCAAATTTTTCACATTGACTGCGAATATTATGTGTTTTTTTTCATTTTTGCAAATATTTAGAAATTAACTAGATTGGTATAATTCCGAAACTGAATTAGAGAACTTTTATAAATTACCATAATTTTATAAATACGAAAATGTCTGCTTATATTAACGATCTCATGATCTCTATAGAGACGTTACTTACTGAATAAAACAATTGACTTGACTACCATTACACATATATATATACATATATACATGTAAATTTGCCAGTGGTATAATATATTTTTTCAATGCACGTTACATCTTTCTGAGTCTTATAATGTGTATTGTATTGTTACGTTAGTTTAAGATTTTTCATCAACTAACACATTTATGACCGTTTATTTCATTTCTACATATATATCATTATTTTGTCGAGTTTTTCCCGAAAGTACTTTTGGCGATTGTGTGAAGACAGTACGAGGAAATCGTGCATGAACTATTACACATGTGCAAAAAAATGAATGGCCTATTCTTCCATTAGGACAAGTATGGTGACTTTTTTTTTTATATTTTACAAATTTTTGTTGATTTAAAATATCCTTTTGTATTTCATGACATTGTGTATTAGAAATTGTCTTTCTTTATAAATTTCTTTATAAACTTTCAACTTCGACAATAGTTTTGGTAAATAAATCGTGATGCTGAATAAAAAGGAAAAGAGAAGAAATACTAGTTTAAGTAGACCTCACATATAGCGTTATTTTGACAATTATTGTTGCCATTAATTTTATTGGCATTGCAATGTAGACTTTTACCGATAATGATGTCACTATTTTTATAAAATATTGTAGCCTTACGGAGTAAAACCTAACCTTGGCGTTATAAAACGCATCGATTAGGATGCCATTAAGAAGAAAGAAAGTAATTTCATTGAAGAAATATCAGAAAAGATTGTAAAAAATAAAGTTAATAAAGGACAACCTAGAAGTACACACAGTGAAAACGAGGCTTCGCAAATCCTCGCAACTTATTGAGAGAAAAGTCGATGAGCTTTCAGAGGAACTGGAGAAAGTTCTAGGCCTTCTGGCGAAACGAAATAAATAATATTTAGTATTTTCCTGTCGTATAAATATCGTCGTAGGCTGCACTAAAGTGCGGGCTGTTTGCCGATCTATTTACCCCAATGATATCTGATAATTGTAAAAACTGTTTTCTGGACTTTTTCATTATAAAATGTGATAAATGTGATAGATATGCGGGTTGTTTACCGCACTCTTTTTACCAGGACTCGTGGTAAAAGTGAGGCTGTAAACCGTTCTCTTTTTGTGGCATATGTTGTGGATATATCATTCTACAATGTCACCTTTCAAGGGAAATCTTTGCTGCTAAGACTGTATTCAGAAACTATCACAGTTTATTATACTCATGTGCTTTATATATAATTTTACAAACATCCCGTTCTTAAACTGTGATATCTTATGTAACATGTTCGGTAAATAATTTGAATTAAATATCATTTTGTTGAAGAACTTTTATACTTATGACCTATAAAAACCGGGTGTGATCATGTATTTTCCCAGTCTATAAGACGAATAATTTATTAATTATTTTTCACTTTGACAAATAATGATAATTCCATCTATCTTTTTTTTAAATAAAATTAAAATATTTTTTTGTCGTGATTTTATTTTTGTCCATAACAATTTTCCATTTAACTTTTCAGTATGAGCTTATAAATATGGATATATTGTATAGATTTTCCATTTTTATGCAGTTAATAAATGAAGACGTGGCTTGGATATAATTTTGTATTATAAGCTACAAAACATGTGAAACATTTAAAATTACCTTTGTTTTGCAAATATTTTTAACCTCAAAAATATTTAATGGAAATAGAATGGAAAAAAATAAAATATTATGTTTTGAATATAGATCAATTAATCACCATATCAAAAATGGTTCAAACTAAACACAGGTGATTTTGTTCAATATGTATGTCAAATAACAACAGATATGTTGCGAATGACATACTTGATTAAAGAATACATGTAGATTATCTTAAATATCAATCGAATAATGAACTATTGAATGTCATGAAAATAAGCGTCCTGGCAATTTGTAACATAGACACTGAAGAACTAACAGATGGCTAAGGATTAATACGACATAAGCCAATTATTGGAAAAAACATCGTTCCCGTGAATTTTCATTCGAAAGCAAATTTTAAATAATATAGTATCATGATGCATTTTTTACAACTAACCAAACAGCCTAAATATTTTATTAAATGCATTTCATTTTGCCCTTGAAAACTAGAATCATTTATTGGACTTTTTTTATTAAACATCATGTTGATATTTAGATATAGATTTCTCTTTTAAAAACCGGTGCAAGGGAACGCAAACAGCAGCTTTACCGTCGCCGTCTGATACACCTCCAAGAATATACTTTATCAAATTCAAGAAATTCTAAACTTAAATTTTATATATATAATGCAGTATACATTTATAATCACACGCAATCAGCAGGAGGTTAGCTGTGAAAATCACAAGCTATAAGCAGGAGGTTAAGGGTATAAATGTATATCACAGTTTCGATGATAAAAGTTACGTTGGACGATACGCAATATTATGTAGAAGCAAACATTTTAAATTCATTTTAATGATATAAAATATATTAGTAAATTGTTTCATTTGATTAAAATTACCTTTTCATCCTTTTCTCCAATAGTGTCATCTAAATTCATTGAAAACCAATTAAGACTTCGGAAACATACAAAGTTACAAACATTTGCTTTTAAATTTTATTGTCATTGTTTATCAATTATATTATTCTTGTATTTGTGTATGTGTTAACTTATAAAGAAACATGTGTTATTAATATTTTATTATAATTTTTAATTTCAATTTAATTGACAAGTACATTCATTTTGTATAACTTATAGAACAACGAGCAAACATGTACGTGTAATGAATTAAAAGAATGGATTAAGTGTGATCGTTCGGAACAAAATTACGGTTTGATTGAGTCTGTACATGTAAGATAATGAAAAAGTGCAACATCGCTCACGTCCCCTAGCATCGGCTTTAGCGGTACTCCATTTTCAACACAGAAGTGTTGGAATCAATTATCACGAAGGATCAGAAAAGCATAAGAACACTGACGTGAAGTACGGGGCAATCTTTTACGGCTATCACACGGCTCTTGACACCAGCTGTTGTGAAGTATAAAATCTGGATAAAGTGTGCTCCAACGGAAGCATTAATGACAACAAAATTTCACGAAAATTTACAACCACTGTGATATATGACATGGACATGAACAGATATGTAGAGGGTAACAATTTAGATTTATGCGTGTAAACTAGCATACATGCAAAGTATAAAAATTACCTGTATCCTGTTCACATATATACCTTTTTAATAAAATGAGTCACATTATAACAAAATAAAATACATTCACACAATTCGCAAGCAATCAGTAACATTTCACAGAAAATTTGGTTTACTTATCAGGACGCAAGCATTCAATTTTATATTGGTCTTACAAAACTGTTTTCTACACAGTTTTATAGAAAACATTTTTTGATATCATTTTTCTCGCATTTCAGTTAAACAATGTAGTATTTATTAAGTAGAATGAAATAAGTTGTCCTCCTGGGTAAAATGTTTTAAGAACTTGCAAGTCGGAGAAAGATTTTGCCGTAGAATCCTGCGTGCCCATCCTATCTATGTTAATTCGTTCTGCTATCGATGACGCCTCAATGACGTTATATACTTATTACAAAATATCAACACTATTTCACGTCTAAATTTTGCTCCTGTAAAACAGTAAAGTAAACAGTTAATGGAATGGTTTAAGAACATGACCATTAAAAGTATTGTCCAGCAAAGAAACCGGTGATTATACTTCACAGAATGTATCTCAATGTCAAAAACATGAGTAAAGTTTAGAGCCACTTGATAAATACTAATTGGTGCTGTAGTCAGAACAAAAACGGTGTTTAGACAAAATATAAGCGGAAACAATGACTTCCGTTCTCGGGCAACTTTTAAATTTCTTCTGAAGTCGCAATGTTCCAATTCAGATGTAGGAAAGTGTGGAATTTTCTGTTTCAGTTTATAAAGAATAAGCGAGTTTCCAATTATGATCAATGAACATGGAACAAAACAGTATACCGTTGAGTCAATGAATGGCCAAATGTTCTGAAAGAAGTAATGATAGTCCTCACTTAAAGCCGCACATGACGGGAAAATCGGTTCCATGTCAAATATATGCACCATTCCATAGAGAGCGTGAGAATTTAATATCATCAACATAACACAAAGGCAAGCGACAACTATTTTAGCACATCTTTTAGATTCAACTCGCCGCGCTCGAAAAGGAAACCAAACACATATAACTCTTTCCACAGTTATTATTGTAATAACCCATGCCGAAAACTGAACTGATGTAAACAAAAACCAGGAGTGAATTTTACATCCGATAGATTTATAGTTTTTGATGTTAGAATCAAATGCTATGGTCAACCATTCCGTGAAGAAGCCCGTGTATAATGCGATTATATCTGACACAGCAAGGGCCGTCAGGTACACAGCCATAGCGGTTGTCTTCAATGACGATTTTGTGTATACGATTATAGTTAAACAATTACCTATGCTTCCAAGAAATAACAAAATTGGTGGAATTATAATCCAAATACATCTTGTTATTTTGTATTCGTGGTATTGGCGAATAGTATCCGACTCGTTTGTCCTTAAAATTGTATCATTTGAGAACGATGCAATTAGATAGTTCATACTTTACTCAAATCTTCAACAATAGCAACATATGTCGAATCCGTTATTTATTTTGTCCGTGTTTTGTGCACATATTTTCTTCTGAAATATGTAGCACTCAGATCGTCGACAGAATTTTAATGTATCCGGAAAAACAGGACGTGACATCAGAGCATTTATTAACGTACCACAGCGTGGTGTTAGAATTGTTTTTACATTAAGGCAATATCGATTCAGAATGTCTAGGCTAGTCGTGGTTGTTTATTATTGACAGAAGATTACAAGTTAAGATATGAAATTAATACAAGCCCAATTATATGTCCGTTATATCAACTTGATCAGCGTCTGCAGCTCCACTGATATTGACCGGTTACCTAGTGAATTAGATATACATTTTGTATTAAGTCATTTCGGAAGCAACTTAATGTCATTTTTTTTTCGGTTAATTTAACGAGGTAGGCAAATTAGCGCCACGTACCGTGTGCAATAAACACAAGTTGATAAATCAACAAAGCACGAACTGACCTCAAAGTTAACACAATATTAGATTTTAATTTGTCCAATGCTTCTATTGTTTGTTTAAACGTACAAGTGCACGTAATCCATCATGTTGTTTGTATAACTATTTGATTACAGTTCATGTTATCTCAAAACGATTACGTTATTGTTCTGATATGGGGTTGCGACGAAATCGCTCAGAATAATTTGAAAATTATTCATTGTAATTTTGGCTTCCTTCAGATTGAATTTTGTTGAAATATAAGCTTTATAATTGACATGTCTTTGAAATATTGGTAACGCTGTCAACATTTCACAGCAGCGAATTGATACAACGAAACAGCTGGGGCATCATAAATTTAGAAAGTATGGATATCGCTTTGTATCACCGCATTTTGGGGTCCAATTAACGCACTTTGGGGTCAAAATCAAGAAATTTACCCCCAAAGTGCGTTAATATGCTACATATCAACGTATTTTGGGTTCCAGAGTATGGAAGCCCTGGAGGGACATTTGAAATTAATATTTAAAACTTAAAACTTATTATTTAATTCTTAATATTTAAAATTTAATTCTTAATATTTAACAATTAATTCTTAATACTTGAAAATTATGAACAGAATACATAAGACGCGGGTATTTTAATTCAACGGTCTCTTGCAAAAGATTGTTACACGAAGAAAAGTTGGCATATTCGATGTAACTGCTTACAGGTAATTGTCATTATTTATATATACAATAAACATTCCATTAACTATTATAATTGATTGTTATATTTTTCATGCTAACAGTTGAAACGATTAAGATATGTTAGTTTTATCAAAGGCGCCAGATACGGTGCCGCTTTACATTTTATTGATTACATGGTGTCAAAAGCAGCAGTTGAGAAAGTTTATCAATACATTTTGTTCTGGTTGAAGCGTTTAAACTGACAGAAATATACCTGCTAGTCAGGGGGTTAGGTTTGTCTAACGATAATGTTTAGTTCTTGGTGGTGGATAACAATATTACATGTTTACATCCCCAGCCCTTTGTTTTTATAACGCTATATTTCATTTATACCTATTTCTTTTAAGGTCGTAAACATGGAGATCCCGTTGATGTATGCCTTTCTCATTTTATTGAAAGTGTCTCCTGTGGCAACAGTTGTGCCATCCCTATTGTCATCTGGGAACAGAAGCACCAGGTTAGAAGTGATTACGCAGTACTTTCATGCTGACTTCAAGTACGCAGAAATTATTTTGCCACAACATACGTTTTGGTCTTCGTCAGTTGAAGAAGGTACTTCATTGTATTAATTAAGGGCGTTATACTCCACAAGAAATCGTACAAGTGCAGTAAAAAAAGAATTGCAGTTTAGCAGAGACGGCTTATGGTACCCAGGTGGATGAATACGTTGAAGGATTTGAGAGCTCTTGGACGAATTGATACATCAAACCCCATTTACGCGGAATACTTGCGATTTTATGTAACGGATGTTCTTCAAGCGGGACTTTATCGAATTGTATTCACTGGATTTTGCACAATGTGCGACCACAGAAACATGTAGACACTTGTACTGGAAGACCAGAAATAAAATGTTTTTTAATGTACTACAACTATCACGTTCTACTGATTATGGCGTTAATGTTGTAGGATATTGAATATGAAACAAATCCAGATGATTGATCATTAGACAATAATATATATAGTTTTTAATTAATAAACATTGATGTTCATGGTTTTCCGAAGTATGTGTTTTTTATGTTTAACTGCTAGTTAAAATTTCTAGGCTGATCTCCAGTTCGCGTTACTTATTGTTAGAACAGGTCATAAATCAAACGGAAAAAAATAATAAAAGAACTTTAACACAGACCTCTCTTGAAACTTTCTGATTCTACATTAATGATTGCATGACAAATCTTAACAGTAAACATTACTAGAAATCTGAGTAAACCATATGTAGGAAATTAGAAGATAAACCTTATGAGCTCTTTGTAGGCAGTACTAAAAATTTGCCAAATGTTCTTAAGAAGGGGTCAAAGTTTAGGACTGTTTAACCCCTAAAGACCAAGTTTCAACTTTGACCTACATATTTAACCTATGATAAAGTTACAAGTTGTTCCAACTGAAAAAAGACATGTAGTGTTCAAACTTTTTTTATTTGATTTGACCTAGTTTTACCCCATATGACCCAGATTCAAAATCGACCTAAAGATTATCCAGACAAATATTCTCATAAACTTTTAAGTTGTTCAAGTTGAAATTACAGCATCTAAAGTGTTCTCTATGTTTTTCTTTGATTTGAACTAGTGACCTAGTTTATGACCACAGATAACCCAGATAGAAAATTGACTTAGAAAATCAATTAGATAAACATTATGAAGATGTGATACAAATTGTGACCTGTATTGTGATCACAAGGGAAATGTTGAGAAACACACCGACAGACGACAAACAGCGGCAATGACAGTAGCTCACCTTAGTAGCTCACCTTAGAGCTGAGCTAAAAAGGAATCAAGATATATCAGATTTTTTCTTTATTGAATTAAACACAGAGCTCTATTTATTTCTGAACAGTTTCCAATGCAAATAGTTATGCATCTAAAATGTTGTTTTAAAATAAACTGGCAAACAAACTTTTGTATACTTCTGTTTGATCCACTAAGTCTGTGACAAGTTTTTATATCATCGAAATTATTTTTTTTTGCGTGTATTGTAAAAAAATCTAACTCTTGTGAGCTAAAATGGTTGAAATTAACAATGACAAGAAACCCCATCATTTTCGACATTTTTCAAAAACAGTTGGTTACAAGAAATTGATATCTGGTCACAGGTTCCGTGATAGAAATAGTAGTACAGTACTTTGACATCTTTGGTATCTTTGGTATATGCTACTGTTGCCAAAGTAACGCGAATTAACTGTTTCCATCAAATAAAAAATGTCCCTTATTTTTCCGTGAGCATTAAGCATTTTCACTAATTTTACAGTGCAGTCATCAGGCAAACTATTCAGTTACGCACTGCTACTTTAAGACAAATGGCAGCAAGAAAAGTGTAGATGATAATATTATTTCCCTTACTGATGGCGTATAGATAGGTTATAGTTGTTTGTTAAAAAGTATAATTACATTCCCTTTAAAAGAAATAGGGCAGCAAAGCCAGTGTTACAACTTTACTCTTTAATTACAGTGACTCATAAAAGTACAAAATCAAAGGTATCTACACTCATCAATGAATAATCGCTTCAGGTTCAACTTCAAATTGATAACAATCTGGGGTAACTACATACAGCATACAACATAAAAATAAAAGGGTATTCATAACACGATTTATTTTTTCAGGTAAAGTTTAAAACATAAAAACAAAGTTTTGCCATGTGGGCTAGAACTGAAGGCTCCACTAGGCAAACTAAAGAAAATGATTATTTTTCAACTAAATAGAACAAGAACCGTCACTAATCAAAGCACAGAAGGCGCTGAATTTGTTTTGGTCTCAGAATGTCAGAAAGGTGAAGTTATGAGATTATAAAACAATTTGTTTTTGTATAGTGCCACCAATGCTTTCCAGAGTTTTAATTGTAGTAGATTGGCTATAAGACTTATTGCAACACTGATATCCGATCCAATGTTTATTTGACTTAAACAATTTGAAAAAAAAAGAGTTACCTTAATTGGGATTTGAACTCCAGACCTCTCGCCTCCTAAGCGGCGCGCAAACCCCTCGGCCACGGTGACTTTATATGTCAACGGTTTGAAGAAAACCATATTATTCTATTTAGGGTTTGTAACGACGCTAACTGCTGTTTAACACTTGTGTAAATAATCATGGCGCTTACTATAAGCATGTATATTTATAAAGAATAAAACAATATTAGAAATCTTCGACCATTCGGGAATTATTTTGCTTGAAAATTAATCCGCCTGTCATGTGACCATATTTACGCAGTGATCTCCCCTAAATGTTTCGGCCTAAGTGTTACATATAAAGGGAAGTAACCGCTTCAAAAAAGCGGACTACTTTCGGCACTTGCAATTAACAGCATTAGAGTCTGAAATTTCGCTACCATTATTTGTTTGGTCTGACGACCCAAACAAATAAAAACAAACATATGCCACAATGGTGCTTTGAGCATTTGGCAGGCTTTTACACTGATAAAAGTTTTTAAGAAGCAAACATTATTATAACAATCAAAATCACGTCATAATCTAAATAATTGTCAATTAGTGTGTATGTTTATAATTATCACAGGGCAGCAACATATATGTCAGTTGCATACAATTTCACATGAAAACAGAACAACGATTGTTACTACTACAAAATAAATTGACGTTTATCAACCATTTTTAAATGAATGTAATAATTATTATGAACAATTGTGATTTACCAAGAACCAAACAATTACTATCATCAACTTAAAAACCAAATATTTGATTTGGCCCATTCAATACAAAATGTTGCTGCTATGAAACTTCTGGACAATTATAAACGTTCCCATGTCTTTCTATGAATACTATGTTCTGTACTTCTATTCTAGAAACCACATGCCCAATTCAAACGGATCATATTCATGAATTATCTTTTTCTGACCTCCCAGACGCATTAAAGCATTGCAATATTGATTTGCAAATACCTCAGATTGTTCTTCAGAATATAATGAGTGCTTAATTTTGCTATACTTTATGTTAATAGTTCTGTCGCCCTTTTCTACAAGGGCTCCATTTATCATGAAACTTTTGTTCTCCTTCTT